GTGTGGGCGTGTGTGTGGGGTGGGGGGTGTGTGTGGTGTGTGTGTGTGTGTGGTGTGTGTGTGGTGTGTTGTGTGTGTCCACAAATCACAACTCACAAATCTGTGAAGACAGAGGAGGAAAAAAAAATTGCAAATTTATGTCGGCAAAGGGCAAAAAGTCCGAAATTTGGGTATACGGCCCCAAAACCCCCAAATATTTACGTTTGTGGAGGGCAAAAAATTGTCAATTCCCGTCCACCCGGTGCCAAACCGCCGTCAATTAGTGCCGAACTGGTGAAATTGGGCAAATTCAGCCCAAAGCCCGGGGACAGGCGGGAGCGGTGACGGGGAGGCGGGGGGCGCCGCCCCTCGGGTGGCCCCTCCCTTGCCGTCCGCCTGCCACTTCGTTGGTGGAGGGTGACGCGTCCCGGGGGGTGACACGGGGACCGTGGGGACAACGGGGACGATGGGGACGATGGGGACGATGGGGATGATGGGGATGATGGGGACAATGGGGATGATGGGGACAATGGGGACACCAGGGATGTGGGGACAATGGGGGTAAGGGGACAATGGGGATGATGGGGACAATGGGGACAATGGGGATGATGGGGACGATGGGGACACCAGGGATGTGGGGACAATGGGGGTAAGGGGACAATGGGGACAATGGGGACAATGGGGACGATGGGGATGATGGGGACGATGGGGATGATGGGGACAATGGGGATGATGGGGACAACGGGGACAATGGGGACAATGGGGACAATGGGGATAATGGGGATTATGGGGACAATGGGGACAATGGGGATGAGGGGGCCGAGGGGGACAAGGGGCGAGTGGGGAGGGGACACCAGGGATGTGGGGACAATGGGGACAATGGGGACAATGGGGATGTGGGGACAATGGGGACGATGGGGACAACGATGGGGACGATGGGGACAATGGGGACACCAGGGATGTGGGGACAATGGGGGTAAGAGGACGATGGGGACAATGGGGACGATGGGGACACCAGGGATGTGGGGACAATGGGGGTAAGAGGACGATGGGGACAATGGGGACAATGGGGACGATGGGGATGATGGGGACGATGGGGATGATGGGGACAATGGGGATGATGGGGACAACGGGGACAATGGGGACAATGGGGACAATGGGGATAATGGGGATTATGGGGACAATGGGGACACCAGGGATGTGGGGACAATGGGGACAATGGGGACAATGGGGATGTGGGGACAATGGGGACGATGGGGACAACGATGGGGACGATGGGGACAATGGGGACACCAGGGATGTGGGGACAATGGGGGTAAGAGGACGATGGGGACAATGGGGACGATGGGGACACCAGGGATGTGGGGACAATGGGGGTAAGAGGACGATGGGGACAATGGGGACAATGGGGACGATGGGGATGATGGGGACGATGGGGATGATGGGGACAATGGGGATGATGGGGACAACGGGGACAATGGGGACAATGGGGACAATGGGGATAATGGGGATTATGGGGACAATGGGGACACCAGGGATGTGGGGACAATGGGGACAATGGGGACAATGGGGATGTGGGGACAATGGGGACGATGGGGACAACGATGGGGACGATGGGGACAATGGGGACACCAGGGATGTGGGGACAATGGGGGTAAGAGGACGATGGGGACAATGGGGACGATGGGGACACCAGGGATGTGGGGACAATGGGGGTAAGAGGACGATGGGGACAATGGGGACAATGGGGACGATGGGGATGATGGGGACGATGGGGATGATGGGGACAATGGGGATGATGGGGACAACGGGGACAATGGGGACAATGGGGACAATGGGGATAATGGGGATTATGGGGACAATGGGGACACCAGGGATGTGGGGACAATGGGGACAATGGGGACAATGGGGATGTGGGGACAATGGGGACGATGGGGACAACGATGGGGACGATGGGGACAATGGGGACACCAGGGATGTGGGGACAATGGGGGTAAGAGGACGATGGGGACAATGGGGACGATGGGGACAATGATGGGGACAATGGGGACAATGGGGGTAAGGGGACAATGGGGACGATGGGGACAATGGGGACAATGGGGATGTGGGGAAGATGGGGACGATGGGGACGATGGGGACAATGATGGGGACAATGGGGACAAGGGGGACAATGGAGGTAAGGGGACAATGGGGACGATGGGGACAATGGGGATGATGGGGACAATGGGGACACCAGGGATGTGGGGACAATGGGGACGATGGGGACGAAGGGGATGATGGGGGCGATGGGGATAATGGGGACAATGGGGACTCCATGGATGGTGGGGACAACAGGCTCGATGGGGACAACGGGGAGAACGGTGGCGACGGGGACGATGGGGACAACGGGGACGACGCCGGTGACAGCGGTGACGGTCCCTCTGCCCCGAACGTCTTCCTTCACCTACGAGAAGAAACCAAAACCTCAAGAAGAAGAACCGCTTCTCCGATTCGCCCCTTTTTGGGGTTTTTTTTGTAGCTTTCCACCCAAAAAACCAACCCCCCACTCCGCCCCTCGACTTACAACCAGCAGTTGTCATCGTCGGCGGTGACCTTGGGGACATCGGTGGGGACACCCGTCACCTTAAAGTCATCCAACTGGAAGACCCAACGACCCGGAACGTTGACGTTGGAGGTGGCGGTGATGTTGATGATGGCTTCGGTTTGGGAACCGGGGATGTTGTAGAAGTTGGTGTCATCTCCGCTGTTGAAACCCGCCTGAACCCCCACCTCTCCCCCCCAAAAAAAAAATGGGTCAAAAATGGAGGATTTGGAGAGTTAATGCCACCGACGTGGGACAACCTCCTACGGGTGGTGGTGGTGGCCCTCAAAAAAACGTTGTGGGTCAACATGCGATTGTCGGTGGACCTGGTGGTGTCCCCCCCCCCCTAAAAAAAATGTTATGGGTCAACTGATGACCATCAATGTTGTTGACACCAAAAAAATGTTGAGGGACAACCTCTGATCTTCGTCATCGTTGGCCCCAGGAGATGGGATGGGACAACCTTCTACCGTGAGTCAACCTGGTGGTTTTGCCCCCAAAATATGACCTTCTGCCATGGGAAAAGCTGGTGGGCTTGCCCCCAAAATGTGGGCCAACCTTCATCTTCATCATTCCCAGAAGATGTTGTGGGTCAACTTCCAACCGTCATCATCGTCATCCCCAGGAGATGATATGGGACAGCCATGAGCAAACCTGGTGGTGTCCCCCCAAAATGTGGGACAACCTTCATCATCATCACCCCCAGGAGATGGTATGGGACAACCTTGTACCATGAGCAAACATGGTGGTGTCCCCCCAAAATGTTGTGGGCCAACCTCCATCATCATCATCCCCAGGAGATGGTATGGGACAACCTTCTACCATGAGCAAACCTGGTGGTGTCCCCCCAAAATGTTGTGGGTCAACCTCCAACCTGCATCATCGTTGGCCCCAGGAGATGGTGTGGGACAACCTTCTACCATGAGCAAACCTGGTGGTTTGGCCCCCAAAATGTGGGCCAACCTTCATCATCATCATCGCCTGGAGATGGTGTGGGACAACCTTCTACCGTGAGTCAACCTGGTGGTGTCTCCCAAATTATGACCTTCTATCATGAGAAAAGCTGGTGGTGTCCCCCCAAAATGTTGTGGATCAACCTCCAACCTTCATCATCGTTGGCCCCAGGAGATGGTGTGGGACAACCTTCTACCATGAGCAAACTTGGTGGTGTCCCCCCAAAAGGTTGTGGGCCACAGTCCTACCATTGCGATTGTTGTCCCCCCAAAATGGTACAGGCCACCTTCCAGTCTTGGATGAAACTGGTGGTGTCCCCCAAACCCCGTTATGGCCCATCCTGTCTTCTACAAAAGAAATTATGGGCCAAAGTTCTACCTTCAGCGTGGTTTCCCCCCAAAATCTTGTGGGCTGAAAGTCCTACCTTCGCCAAAGGTGGTGGTGTCCCGTCCCCCCCCCCAAAAAAACCCACCCATTACTGGTCAACCTCCTCCCCAGTTCCTCAAGTCCCTTCATCCCGTTGTCTTCTGCTTCTCCTTCACCTCCACCTACGTGGGCTGGAGTGCCTCCAAGACCTGTTTCGGCGTCGCCGTCGCTCGCCGCCCCCGTGGTCCACTGGATGTCCCAATAGTTGAGGATGACGAAGGACGTCTTGGCGTCGGTGGTCAGGATGGCTTGGAAGGTGTTGCCCTACAAGAAGATGACACCATCGGTGGTGGGACGAGCAGGTCCGGGTGGCATTTAGCCCTGAGGGCTGCACACAGGGGTAGACTTCTTGGGCATCTTGGTCAAAGATGGTCCATCCAGGCTGTTTTTTTTTTTATTTTTTGGTGTCTACCATCAGATGACTACTTTTGGTGGTCCACCACAGCCTCCTTCTCCATGTGAGGTGGCCAGGAGGACAACGTAGTGGAAAAGTTGGCTTTCAACGTGGAAAAAAAAAAAACCCAACAAACCCGTAAAAGAATGGAGGAGTAAAGGTTTGGGTGTGAGACCTGCACGTCAACGCGTGGAGGAGCTCCGTGGGAGTTTTGAAGACCCCTCCAGGGCTGGCAGGTGGGACAGAGGAGGACACGTGACCACCTCAAATGTCCCGAAGGCAAATGAATGGGTAGGAAAGACCAACGGATGGGTTGCGAAGGCCACGAATGGGTTGCGAAGGCCACGAATGGGTTGTGAAGGCCAAGGAAGAGGTCCCAAAGGCCAACAAATAGTTTGTAAGGCCACCACGAGGGTCGCAAGGCCACCACTTGGGTCATGCGGCCACCACGTGGGTTGTAAGGCCAAAATGTGGGTTAAAAGCCACCACATGGGTCGCAAGGCCACCACGTGGGTCGTAATGCCACCACTTGGGTCCTAAGGCCACCACGTAGGTCATAAGGCCACAACTTGGGTCTCAAGGCCACCATGTGGGTCGTAAGGCCAAAATGTGGGTTGAAAGCCACCACGTGGGTCATAACGCCACCATGTGGGTCATAAGACCATCACGTAGGTTGCAAGGCCACCACTTGGGTCCTAAGGCCAAAATGTGGGTCGTAAGGCCACCTCTTAAGTCGTAAGGCCACCACTTGAGTTGTAAGGCCACCACATGGGTCCTAAGGCCACCACGTGGGTCGTAAGACCAACATGTGGATCATAAGGCCACCACGTGGGTCGTAAGGCCACCACGTGGGTTGCGAGAGCGAATGAGGGGGTTGTGAAGGCCACCGCGTGGAGCTCCTGGAGCAGAGCTCTGGTGTTTCGGCGTGTCTCCAGCCTCAGCCACCACACCGATGAGGGATTCGAGGCCACCATCTGCTTTGCTCTCCAGAACCCACTCGCCCGTGGCCACCTGCTTTGTCCCGTATCCGTGTCCCCCACACACACACCTCAGGTAGGGCGGGAGAAGTCCCTTTTCACCCATGTGACCTCAACGTGGCACTTCGAGTCACGACCGTGGCCCTTACCTTATTGGTGGTAGAGCCATAGTAGGCCACGTGGTCCCAGGTGGCCACGAAAGCCCACGTGGCGCTGAAGGGGATCGTGGGGAAGTATTGGTTGATGTCCTTGGTGACGCGCGCCAGCAGGGCGGGGTCGGTGGTCTCGCGGTAGAAGACATCCCCTCCCAGCACGTTGTCCACGTCCGCCCAGTACGGAGCCACGAAGGGGCGTCCATCAGCCAGGGGGAAGGGGTCGGGGGTGTACTGGCTGACCCGGGTGTCAAAGGAGATGACGCCGTTGTTGTTGACCTGCGAAAGATGCCAGGTCAACCCCGGCGTGGTGGTGACCCTACCACGTGGTCAACACTCTCTCCCGCTTGGTTGCAGGATGTTGGAGATGGGGGGGGGGGACGGTGGGATACAACACCCCAAACTTGACCACGGACATCCCAAAGGTGGAGATCTCCTCCCAAGACCCACCAACCACGTGAGGATGATTTGAGGCACCAGAAAAAAAAAACCCCAAAAAAACTGACTCAACCCCATCAGGTCAATGCCATGGACGGGGAGATTTTGTTGGGGGGACAAGTGACAAACTGGACCGGAAAAGGGACCCAAAACCAAAAAAGTGGGGTGGGACGAGGGGAAATTGGAGAATGGAGAGACGTGGCCGGAAGACGTGGAATTTTGGCTCACGTACGTAAAGGGTTCGGTACTCTTTGCCGTAGAAGGTGAAGGGCACGGCCAAGGAGAGCTGCTTCGATGTCCCGTCATCAAGTTTGGGGTTCTTCTGATCCCGCTGGTCCGGACCGTAGGGGTAGAGAAGATCCGCTGTGGGAAAGTGAAGGTTGAGGTTATGGGGGGACCTTCCTCCCCGCTGACCCTTCCCAACCTCCCACGTTTCGGGGCGAAACCCGCCGGGATTGGGCTTCCTGATTTGAAACGAGGACACCAAAGAAACCCGAGGGTTGTCTTCTCCCGGTTGTCCGACGGTTGGGGGTGAAACTGGGGGCCTGCAATCATGGGATGGGTTGGGTGGGACCTTAAAGACCATCCGGTGCCACGCCCCTGCCATGGGTAGGGACATCTTCCACCAGCCCAGGTTGCTCCAAGCCCCGTCCAACCTGGCCTTGAACGCCTCCAGAGATGGGACCTCCACACCTTCTGTGGGCAACGTGGGCTGGTGTCTCCCCACCCTCAGGGTGAAGAATACCTATAGCAGAGGGGCTCCAGCCCTTGGAGCATCTCCGTGACCTCCTCTGACCCCGCTCCACCAGGTCCACCTCCTTCTGATGTTGAGGACACCAAAGCCGGACGTAATATTCCAGGTGGGGTCTCCCCAGGTGGGGGAGAACCACCTCCCTCGCCCCATTGACCACGCTGCTGGGGACACAGCCCAGGTTGCCGGTGGCTTTCTGGGCCACCAGCTCACGTTGCCAGCTCACATTGAGCTTCTCCCCTACTGAGAACCCCCAAGTCCTTCTCCTCTGGGCTGTTCTCCAGCCGTTCTCCACCCAACGTGGATTTGGGTTTGGGATGGCCCCCGCCCACCCACAGGACCTCGCACTTGACGTGGTAGAACTTCCTGAGGTTGGTGTGGACCCACCTCACCAGTGTGTGGTCCCACCTCACCAGTCTGTCCAGGTCTGGGGTGGCAGGACCTCACACTTGACCTGGTAGAACTTCATGAGGTTGGTGTGGACTCACCTCACCAGTATGTGGACCCACCTCACCAGTCTGGCCAGGTCCAGAGTGGCAGGACCTCACACTTGACCTGGTAGAACTCCATGAGGTTGGTGTGGACCCACCTCACCAGTGTGTGGTCCCACCTCACCAGTCTGGCCAGGTCTGGGGGGGAAGGACCTCCCACTTGACCTGGTAGATCTTCATGAGGTTGGTGTGGACCCACTTCACCAGTCTGGCCAGGTCTGGGGTGGCATTGGAGGGCAAAGAGGGCCAAAAGAAAACCTCCAATTTCCAAAAAACCTCCGATTTCCAAAAACACCTCCGATTTCCAGTAGACCTCCGATTTCCAGAAGACCTCCGATTTCCAGAAGACCAACGATGCAGCCAAAGCAGAAACAACCCCGTTTTGGGTGGAAGAACCCATCTATTAACAGCAGACTCTACAAAAAAAAAAAAAACCACCACCAAAAAAAGCACCTTTTTCTCGCGCTGGTTGTCCATCCGTCACAGCTCCTGGAGAAGAAGACGCCGTGAGGGGGGAGGAGGAAATATTAACCCAGGAGGAACCATCACCCGGGACGTTTCCACCTTCAGAAGAAGACGGTGTCTTTTTTTGGGGGGGGGAAAGAGGGTTTTTTTGAACCTACCCAAGGTCAGGAGGAGGCAAAGGATGGAGGGTGTCATCCCGGCTCCTGCAAAATCATAAAAAATGGGGAAAAACCAAGAAAAAAACGGGAGGAAACGCCACCGGAGGTGGAAGATTTCTCATTAAAGCACCGGTTGGGCTCTTTTTTAACGGCGTTTTTCGGCCGCGGCGTGGCGGGGGCGAACGATTTTGACTATAATAAAATACGTAAATATATCGAAGACGGAAAGATCTCAGAGATATAAAGATGTAAATTCTCTACATATATCAAAGGTAGAAAGATCTCAAAGATATAAAGATGTAAATTCTATAAATATATCAAAGGTAGAAATAAATCCCACTGGGGACGCAACCCAGGTCACCGGTGGCTTGCTGGGCCACCGGCTCACCTTGACCTTCTCCCCCATGGAGATCCCCCCCTCAAATCCTTCTCCTCGGGGCTCTTCTCCACCCGTTCTCCACCCAACCCTGGATTTGTCCTCGCGTTGACCTCCACCCACCCGCAGGACCTCTCCCTCGACCTTCTCGTCCCACTTCGCCTCCCCTCCTCCAGCGCATCGCACCTTCGCGCGCTCCTAACCCAGGAGGAACCATCACCCGGGACGTTTCCACCTTCAGAAGAAGACGGTGTCTTTTTTTGGGGGGGGGAAAGAGGGTTTTTTTGAACCTACCCAAGGTCAGGAGGAGGCAAAGGATGGAGGGTGTCATCCCGGCTCCTGCAAAATCATAAAAAATGGGGAAAAACCAAGAAAAAAACGGGAGGAAACGCCACCGGAGGTGGAAGATTTCTCATTAAAGCACCGGTTGGGCTCTTTTTTAACGGCGTTTTTTGGCCGCGGTGTGGCGGGGGCGAACGATTTTGACTATAATAAAATACGTAAATATATCGAAGACGGAAAGATCTCAGAGATATAAAGATGTAAATTCTCTACATATATCAAAGGTAGAAAGATCTCAAAGATATAAAGATGTAAATTCTATAAATATATCAAAGGTATAAATATCTAAATTTTATAAATATATCAAAGATAGAAATATATCAAAGATACAAATATGTAAATTCTATAACTATATCAAAGATAGAAATATATCAAAGATAGAAATATCTAAATTCTATAAATGTATCAAATGTAGAAATATATCAAAGATAGAAATATATAAATTCTATAAAAGTACCAAATGTAGAAATATATCAAAGATATAAATACATAAATTCTATAACTATATCAAAGATAGAAATACATCAAAGTTAGAAATATATAAATTCTATAAATATATCAAAGATAGAAATATATCAAAAATACAAATACATAAATTCTATAACTATATCAAATATAGAAATATGTCAAAGATAGAAATATATAAATGCTTTAAATATATCAAATATAGAAATACATCAAATACAGAAATATATAAATTATGGGAATATAGAAAATAGAGAAATATATACATTCTATAAATATATCAAAGATAGAAATATATCAAAAATACAAATACATAAATTCTATAACTATATCAAATATAGAAATATGTCAAAGATAGAAATATATAAATGCTTTAAATATATCAAATATAGAAATACATCAAATACAGAAATATATAAATTATGGGAATATAGAAAATAGAGAAATATATACATACTATAAATATATCAAATATAGAAATACATCAAATATATAAATCTAAAAATTATGGGAATATAGAAAATATAGAATTATATAAATTCTATAATTATAGAAAATATAGAAAATATAGAATTATATAAATTCTATAATTATAGAAAATATAGAAAATCTATAAACATCAAAAATACATAAATAGATTAAAAAATCGCCTTCACCGGGGAACGGTTTTCTCTTTATCACCCGCAGGAGGGGAGAAAAAAACCAAAAAATAAATCCCATTTCCCGCCTGTGTATTTTAACCCCTTTTTTTCGTCCCGTTTTACCCCAACCCCGTGTCCTGCCCGCGGGGAATCCCCCTCCGGGGTAAAAAATCGACACAATTTGAGGGATTTTAGGGGATTTTTTTGGGTGGAAAAAAGAAATAAAAACGAGGCAAGACGGAGGATGACCGGTGGGGAACGGAGTACCCGTCGGAGATTTTCCGGGGAGAAATTCCGATGAAATCCTCCTCGGTGTCCAAATTTTTGAATTTTGGAGGGTGTTTTCGGGGAGGTTTTGGGGCGGCGGATGAGCGGTGGCTCCAAATTAGGGCGATTTGAACAAAAGCAGAGGATTTAAGAGGGAGAAACGAACACCCGTTGAGGATGTCACCTCTTACCTCCGCCTCTCGGCCGCCCTCCTCCGGTTTTCCCGACGGGAAGAGACGAAGCGCTTCCACCGACTCAACCGCCAAAAAAAAAAAAACCACAAAAACACCACAAATGGCATTTTTCTATCGCTTTTTTTTTTTTTTTTTTTATTTTAACCCC